CACTGAAATATTTATCTAGATATTTCATGTAAAGTTCCGCAAGCTTGGAAAAGACTTGCACTTAGAGGTAGCTTGTCGTCATACTGAAGCAAATATTTCCATTGGTTTTTGCCATGTAAAAAGCCAAAAAATTGCCATTTCTAGTTGGGCCTATTACATTGATTTGAAAACATAAAAAGATGGCGACTTTTGCCTTTGAACAACAAGAAAATTTATCCAACATATGTTGGACGTATAATTTTCTGTGGCTCATGCCCATAGCTGTCAATATTCTACAGCTATCTGCCTTTGAGTAATTGAGCCAAAGGATTGCTCAGCCGTTTTGCGGTAAGTGTTGTCTATGTTATAATTCTAACTAATTTTAACAATACATCTCATTCTTAGAAATATTGCTCTCACAATAATCAATTGAATAGTAAGATGCTTTTTTACTTGAAACAGTAATCTATTAGTCATATAGTAATCTGCTGCACTATATTCCGCTTCTTAGGTTGTCAGCAAACATATGATTTCAACCACAGCACTCCATTCGATCTCACGATGAGCCCAATAAACTTCTCCTTTTTTCTAGACGTTGTATCGGGTTGATATTTTAAGATAATATATATATAATTCTAGTGGTAGAATTTCCTCTAAACTAACTTAAAACTGCGTACATTTCTCAGTATTTTTTTCTTTTGTATGTGCTGTTTCTTTTCATAAGATCCACTGCAATTTAGTCTCAAAGATGCGTTTAGTTTTTCCGAGCTTGTTAGGAATTGGAGCATGCTTATCTACTGGCCATCACTATCAGCTTACCAGTGAATTGACTGCTCCATTGCTAATAAATCGCTGGCGAGTGAAAGATGCCCGCAAACGTTTCTGCACAAGACTGTGCTTTCAAATTTCTTCCTTTACTTAGGATCAAGCCAATTAGAAGTTACTCACTGGCAAACTTTAGAGTATCTTATGCCGGCTAAAGACAAAGCAATGTGGCGGATTTGGAAGTCAAAATGATGGTAAACGAATAATCCAAAGGTTTGTCATCATATTGGTAATCGTAATTCTAATTGTTATTTTTTTGTTCGCTATTATCAGCCAAATAGTAAACTCATATTTTGAGTTGTTTAGATATCGCCGCCGTCAATACACCGCCGCGACTGCGCAGTATTCCCAA